CCTCTGATGGAACAGTGTTTTACGATAATCTACTAGGCCATTATGTATAATTTTTCATATTCTTGTTTATAGTTACTGTTATTATTCTACTACTGCGTCTGCTATTGCATTCTTCGTTCTACTCCCCTCCTCTTTTGTAATGCCCTAACCGGGCCCTTAAGATGAAAACAATTGAAATAAATGAAATGAAACAATGCGACTAGATTGTTCTTATTTTCAAAATTAGTACAGAATGTAGATAAAAAAAAAACCCTTCAATTTCTGTTGCTGGAAGTTAAAACATGCTCGTGCATCGATTTTGAATCGTTGAATCGCTGATCGATTCGCTTCGGCAATCGGCCCATCTCTACTTTGCTTTTTTCAGTTCCCGACAAAAGACACGCGCGTCAGCACGGAATCCTCAAATGAGACATTTATTTACACCAATGCATGAGCTTGTTTCAACGTTTATAAGCATTGATGCATAAGCATGTTTGAACTTTCAGCAACAGAAATTGAACGTTTCTTTCCTGCTACATTATGTACTCATTTTGAAAATAAGAAGAATCTAGTCGCGTTGAGACGGTCAGCCTAGGTTCACGGCTCTCTAGTTTTGCACAGGAGATCGCGATTCAGGCAAAGCGATCAAACTAACTTTTCACCAATTTCCAGCCACACCCGGCGGCGGAAATCAGCCTTCAACCAAGTGCTGCAGATAATAAAGTCGAGTCATTGTCACCACTTAAAAAAATTTATATTAAAATAAATTCAGTTCCAAAAAGTTACAAGCTTATATTATAATTATCAGGAGAACACTTGCACGCACCTTGCGAGCGTATACCATGCACTGTTAAAAAAAAACGTAAAATTACAGGGAGCGCCAACGGGACCAGAGCCGCTCGCGAGCCGTCGTTGCCGTTTCGCCGTAAACCCCTCCACCGCACCCGAACGAACAGACATAGCCGGCGCGCTGCGCAGGCGCAGTCAATGCAGCCCTTTTATTCGGAGAGGCGGAAGGTCACGTGAACTTCTTTCCCGCGCTCCCGTGGGACGCTGTCCGCGTGAAGGCACCCCTGGCGCATGCGCAGTGAGCGTGTCGAGGGAGATCCCGCGCAATTCGGCGACTTTGTGGACGTGTTTTTGGTTCGCCGCACTCAAACCTGGAGATTTCACGGTAAGTGCATTACATCCCCTTCCTTGAACTGTTTGATGAATACCTGTCGCACCACTGTTTTCTTACATGAGTCGAGCAGTTGTCTGGATTCACTATTATGCATTGCTCGCCACAAGCGTGTGCAGACGATGTGCGTCTCGCGCTGGAGGTGCGTAGCGTTTTGGGGTAACGGGGTCTTTGCCTTGTTGCTTTCGAGTGTTACTCTAGCATTATCACGAGACGTAGTGTGTCGGTGTTCTACGTTTTTCTTGCTCCCTTCTTAGTTAAATATTATTCGGCTACGTGAAACGCTCTTGGATTAGCGCTCCGCTGGAAAGGCAGAGGTCCCTGGTCCGGTTCGAGGACCATGCACGCCGATTTTTTCGGTAGCTGCTTGTTCGACATAACGTGCTGTTCAGGTGCAATTTGTTTCGAAACATGCAAAGCGACACAGTGCAATGAGGTTTCAAGTGCCCACAATAATATACTATATACGTTTGACCGAAGTGTAAAAAACTAGTGCCAAAATTCCTTTTTTTTTTTTTGTTCGTTTGTGCCGAGCCGACATTTAGCTTCCGTGCACTCTCATATTGTTACGGTAGACTTGTGTGGATTTAGGAAACTTTAAATTGATCGATTCGACCTTCGTGTCTAACACTGCCAGTACTCAAATGCTTTGCAGTACGTCTTTAAGTCCGCGGTCTTTTTTTTTTCTTTTTTTTGAGTTCGTTGAGTTTAGTTTTCTCCATTCCTTGGTGCGCTACTGTGTAGCGACGGCGCCGGACTCTACGTAATGAGTCATGACTGAAACACATTTGCGAAAAGCGGCCAAATTGTATGAAGAAATCGCAAACGAAAATCAGACAGCAACTCCTATTGCCTTTTTTTTTTTTTTTTCTTTCGGCGGGGAAACCCGGAGGGGGACGGAGCGATGTCGCAACGTTACTTCGGGAGTTCCGTCCGTTCCGTCCCTCTCCGGGTTTTCTACGCTATGGCGCAGCCGCGGCAGCCGCCGAGGCTGGTTGAGTGTTTCCGCGGTTTTTGATCAGCTTTGTACGAAGACTGATTTTCGCCGATCTTTGTCGTGTTACGTGTATGTGGTGAACGGAGCATTGCGGAGACTGAGAAATATTTGGGCTGTTCGCTGTGTTGTGGCATTCGGGCAATGCAAGATCGCGGTGAGTTTGCTCGTGTACAGTCGGCGGTAAAAGTTTGCGGGGCGCGGGAGCGTCAGCCGAAATGACTGGTTGCGCCTTCTGCGGCGCGCGGCCGCTCTCAAGATTCACGCTTCGAGAATGCTTCCTTTCGTGCTCGAAGCCATGACTTTTTCGCTCGCTTCCGCCCGACGTGCACGAGATAACCGGGGACCGGCGCAAGGTGTCGCTATGACAGCCCTCACGCCGCGCGTCTGCCTCAGCCACCGTGGTAGGTGACGAAACTCGCGCATGCTACAGATAACATTTCGCGGCACCTTGCGCCAGTCCCAGTTATATATCGTGCGTGTCGAACGGAAGCGAGCGAAAAAAGCATGACCGCGAACAAGAAAGGAAGCGCGTGCGCATAGCGTGAGTCTTGGAGCAGCAACGTGCGTGAGAAGGCGCAGCCAGTCTTTTCGGCAGGCGCTCCCGTGCCCCGCAAACGTTTGCTCCCGACTGTACGTCGGCCGATGCTCGTGTCGGTGCACATCTCAATCTCAACTAAACATCGAGCGCCGATTGTGGCTGACTCCATGCATGTAAGAACGAATTAATCTACCAGGAACTTCGTGAATAAGAACGAGGCAAGCGTGTGGCTGTAGAAGGATGTCGTGACCGGTGGCATACGTACACTGGTTTCCGCACGTTGCTTCTGTTTACTTTATCTGTTGTAATAGCAGTCTTTGTACCGGTGCGTGAAGGCCTCGGTTGCTTCGAAAACCAAAGCTGATACCGCCAGTCTCTTTTTCCGATGATTCTGTCAAGTCCTAATCACGGCGTCATATATATATATATATATATATATATATATATATATATATATATATATATATATATATGAGTGCACGTTTGGTGCACGTTTGGTGTTGTTTGCATTAATTTTACTGCGGAGGACGTTGCCTTTTGCGCGGGATCAGTCTTCTCGTGTAACTTGTCTCCCAAATTTGCGTGCAACAATTTTTGCACCCTCCGATTTCCGTTCTATATTCGGTTTCTTTTCTTGTAAATGTGTTTCAGCCTTAACATTTTGCCGCGGCGCAGCTCTGTTCAGAGAAGAAACGGTCTCAGCACAGCAGGGTGCACGAAGCGCGTCGTGTGTTTAGAGAAAAAGAAAATGAAATTGGGCAAGAAATGATTTGGTAACTGCACCGTAATAAGTGGCTGCCAGCAGTGGAAAAAAAAAAAAAAGAGAGATATGTTGCCTTATAGTTGGAGTTAAGTCATCTGCCTTATTGTAGTATTTGAGGTAGAAAGGAGAACAAACTAGATGCCTGGGCCGGCTTGCAAGAGACAGAGTCTCGGTTGAGACTGCTCAAAGAAAGCGCTGCCAAGGCTCGGGCGCGCGAGCGTCTAGGACTCGGTTTAAGCTCTAGCACTAGCCTTGACAGCGCTTTCTTTGAGCAGTCTCAACCGAGACTCTGCTTCATGCAAGCCGGCCCACATATCTAGAAAACCAATTTTCTGCCCCAAAAGGTGGTAAAAAAAATGTGTCACATTACTGTGCAATTGCGGGCGTTAGCGTGAAACATTTTCGCGGTAGACTGCAACGCAAACAAAAAATGCAAAAGAGCAAGAAAAAAAAAAACAGTAAGTCCAGCGCGAAATGCTAGGGAAAGGAAGGTGGGAGTGGAGGAAGCAGATGGATAGCTGGCAAGGAGAGGAGGAATTTCCTTGCCAGCGTTGTTTACTTACTCCTTTCCATGTTTCTTTCCCTTGCCCTTGGCAGCAGTTTAAATCAAATAGCGCTGCATCGTCCTGGCTTTCATTGCACTGCTCAAGCTATGAATGACAAGGCGCTATACCATTCCAGCCGAGCTCTGTTCACCTGACCTCTCAAGCTAGATGCACAGAAGCGAAAACCTAGCCAACCTAGCCGAACGTTTCACATGACAATTACTGCGGCCATTCATATCACTGCCCAATGTTAGCATGCTAGACTGTAGCTCCTCATGGCTCGGGCAACCTAAAAGAACACGGAAACATAGTTTTGTATGTTAAGACTGGACGACAAGACGACACGCACGCTGCAGGTGTAGACAGGCTGGTGCAGGTGTTCTATCTTTCTGGTGTAAATAGAAACATTGCCTTCAGATTAACACAGAACATTGAGGATGGCTGTTTTGTACTTCAGTTTAAAGACAATGTTAGTTTTGAAACTTGATGAAAGCTCACGTTAAGTGCTTTATAATCCTTACTGTGTTAATTTCTAGATAGGTGTATGTTTATGCTGTGTGTCATTATCTTCACAAGCACAGTTGATTTAATGTTCACTGACTTCAGTTGTGGCAGGAATAAAAAAATTTGGGGTCAAGGATTAATATCTTTGGATTAGGACTTCGCCATGATTGCTTCGAATATTGGTAATGTTTCAGGTATCTTTATAAAAATGCAAAGATCATGTGTTTAAGTACAAAATTGGGAGAGAAAAATGTTTTTTTGCAGATCTTGGGACTTAAAGTAGACCTTCTATCCGAAAAAAGAAAGCCAAATTGTTCAGCTCTCATGTCGTCTTAGGATATTGTATTTCTCAGGGTCCCAACAAACATGTTCAATATTAAATCAACTTGAAATAAACCAAGCACTCCTTTTTGGTTATAGATGAGACATCACTGCAAAAGATGCCAGAAAAAGTTTACATCATTGGACACGTTCTTCAAGCACACGTTATATCATGAAACATCATCAAGAGGTGTTCCATGCAGCGTTGTCGGCTGTGAGGCTGCATTCAAAAATTACAACTCATTGCGAAGCCACATCACAAGGTGTCATTCTCCGCTTGCACCTCGTAATGCAACTAACTTCCAATCCTGCCGGACATGCAGTGTTAGTTCCTGCAGTGAAGAGGTGAGCCCTGGAAAGGCTTTTATCGAGCACCTCAAAAAACATCTCACCGGCAACCCGCCAACTGTTGTAACTTGTCCAATTGATGCGTGTGATAGCCAGCTTAGGACATGGGGTTCACTCATGACCCATCTTTCCATATGCCATGGGAATGGAAAAAAAAAAAAATCAGTGGTGACAGAGCCAGTAGAGCAGGATGAAATAGTGACGTGATGCTGTAGCAAGGATGACAATGGTCTGGAGAACATTAGGGAAAAACCAGACGTTGAGAGTGAAGTGCCTTCAGTCATAGATGATGTGGATCCCACTCACTTAGATCAAGACTTTTTCCTTTTTAAAAAGGCAGAATATGTTCAGTTCTTTGCAAGAGTCACTCACTTCTAAAACAAACATACACTATTATGCTCATAAAAAGGTGCTTTGAACGACGAATACGATTGCTACTCACCATACAGTGGTCCTTGCAGATTTCTTTCCTTCAATATTTTGCTTTTCCCAAAAAGGTATTTTGATTACAAAGATTTTGGATATGAGGAGTCAGTGATAACATGAATTTTTTAAGGCTTACAGGTGTCTGTCTGGACGGAACATTGAGCCTGCCCAAAGATGTCCTCCTCCTCGTGACATTCCTATGTTCAAGCCCCAAAAATGATGCTGTGCTCGAGTGGAGCCTCAAAATCAACAAGGCCGAGGCACAGTTCAAAGATCAAAACGCAGCAGCAGTCTGCCTCCTCCCATTGCTTGCATCCTACTTTCAAGAAAACCTCGGAGAGCTCTTCCAGTTACATCAGGTAGGAGCATTCATAATAACCAGGTTATTTGTTTCCAAAGACACATCCTCATGACCTTGTTGAAAATAACTTCCTGGAAGTCTCACACAGGCAGTCAGCATTCCACTGAGAAACTATGCATCTGGAAATACTAAACTTTTCTTCATTTTTTGAAATTTTCAGCTATATCAGTCTTCCTGTATACCGTAACATACCGGTCATGCACCTATGTCCGAATAGGCGCCTACCTAGTGATTTTTAACCATTGGAGCAATGCCTTGTACTCTTTCTGCAGTTTCGCTTTCTGAGCGACCATCCCCCCACTTTTTCAGAATTGTCTGCAAAATCTTTGTGAACGCTTTCTTGGTATCTGACGACAATGCTGATAATGAGCACGTAAAAAGTGAAATTACTATTGCTCTACGAGGAGCCAAACCTTCCTTAATCTTTTCCTGGCTTGGTGGCTCAACTTATTATACTTCACATTAGAGTGCAATGGGAAGATATGCAACTCTAGGCTGGGTCATCTTATAGTATGTTCTACATAAATATTTCACTAAACCAAAGGGGGAGCGGCGGTGGGCACCCACTCTTGTACCACTTGCTTCTAATGGGTTCACATGATGTTTTGCATTTTTGGGATCGAGTGTTAGAGTTAACACAAAAATTGTGCTAGAGAATTAACTAGTGACAAACGTTTGTACTTCCACTTCGACTCCTAAGTTAGGATCATTTGTTTTTAATATTAGTAACTTCCTTGTCCCGCAGGTGTAACAATGAGGCTTTGTGACAGATATCAGCAGATACATTGCTGCTTATTTAACGTTGTTTTTTAGTTGTTATTGAGCGTTAGGACAACAAATGTTTGTAGTTAAAAATGTCCTTATTAGTGAGAAAATAACAGGAACCGCATCCTTTGATCTCAGCAAACGCTATCTCCTGTAGGTGGGATGAAGGGTTAAAGGAAATAAGGGTGAGATGAAAATAAAGTGGGTGAGACGAACCTCTTTCACATAAGTGAGGGGTGAATGGAGAATAGCCTTTTGGTATTCCCGAATACACGTGGGATTAACAGACTCTTTCAAGGTTTGGGGTTCTTGCATGTGTGGGCAGTACCAGGAGTGCGCTTCTGTGACTGTGACCTCGCAGTGGGCGCATAGGCTGTTGTCTTTTTCCTGTGTATGGCGGCTTATGCACCATGTTCTTGTGGGTGTTACATTTTGCTGTTTCCTTGGAAACCATAGTGGTGTGGGTCCGTTGTCTTTTCAGGCGAACCTCTTCCCACCTGGTATAATTACCATCTGGGAGTGGGTCTAAGTCTTCTTTGAGTAGAGCCGTGAGGTGTTTTCAGTGGGCCTGTTGTTTGGCTACCTGGGAGAATAGGGGATCCTTTGTGTCTTTTTCAATGAAGGCGGCGCTGTTGTCACCAAGGATAGTAAGCATAAGGGAAGACAAAAACTCGCATGCGGCGGCAGACACTGTTTTATTTACTTGGGAATGGTTTGGTGTACCAGGAAGCAGTGGATTTAAAGTTGTCGGCCTTCCTGCCAGAGTCCTTTAAATGTGCCCCACACTCGTCGTGTGTTATCTCGGAGCTTGCACCTCAGTTGTTTACGGAGCTTCTGGGTGTATTTTTTATCTTCACCGTGCTTGCATTGAAATTGGCTTGGAGTTTTCAGTCCTTATTTCTCCTGTAACATTGTTGGGCTTGCAGTCTGATAGCACACAAGTTGAGGAGATGAAGGTCGGGGTCTGGGTCGTCTTGTTTGGCTTGGTACTTCTGAGTGGATGTGGCTTTCATTATTCGCTCACCTAGACACTTTTTCAGGTGCTAGGTTAATGAAGCTGATCTGTCATTTAGTGTTGGGGTGTCTTTCTGTCATTAATTCTATTTCGACGGGTAGGTGCTTGCTTCCCAAGGCGTGGGAGCAGTTCGCACTCGGGCTTAGATGTTGTGTATGGCCCATGTCAAGTCTTGTGGTGTCGTTCTCAGTGCGACGTTTGCCAATGCGAATGGCAGTCTGTTTTTCTTTGAGAATTCATAGATTGGCCTGCTTGGCGGGTGTGAAGACATTGCACTCTCTGTCATTGTCTCGCTTGTATCCCCATATTCGTGCATCTGCGGTAAAGTCGCCGGCCACGATAAGTTCTTCGGGCATCATTCTTTGCGATCCGCCTTACGTCGTCTTGCTTGTGTCCCACAGTTCTACATTCTGTGGGAATAAATATAGACCCATAGATGTATGGTACCTTCACTAGCATTTCGTGCATTTCTCAATTAACCACACATGTTTTCTGACTTTTCTTAGGTGACAACAGAAATCACAGAGGAGTTTCGTAACAGTCTGCCTGCTTCTCCTGTAATTGTTGCACTGGGTGAGCTTCATGTGTCTTTTCCTTGCATGCTTTGTATTTTTGAAGGTGCTTTCTTTTTTAATTTGTGTTGAATTTTGGAACAACAACCTAGACCATTTTATCGTGGGTAGTGCCATTTTAAGAGTGAGGGAGAGAAGAGGGGTCAGTGCAGATGACTCCTAGTGACTCAATTGTAGTGGGATACTGTAGTGGTGTAACCAGAGTGCTGGAATACTGCAGTGGTGTAACCAAAGGGTGGTGTGCCGATTTTGACCAGAGCTAGATAGACGACCACATTGTTTGGTTTCGGCAGCCTTATCAAGCACCAACGTAAAGCACATGTCCTGGTATTATACCATACTTTGACAATCAATGTTTGATTGATCCAGCAAGAAAAAGAGTAGTTTTTATTTTGGTTTGTGAGTGAAGGTGCCACAAAACGGCATACAGCCCAAACAGCAGGTGCCTGTGAGGCATTTGATTGTTTGGGCCTGCATTCTGTGTCTTGTCCAACCCAAACAGCCAAATTTTCTGCTCGTAGAATGTTTGGTCGCATGCGGTCTCCGGTCATTTAATTTCTAGCTAAAGCAATTTAAACGAAACCGACGACTGGCATTGCACGTTGGCATCAGACTTCCATGCTACTGATTCTGTTCACAAACTCAACAAAAAGTGTTTGATTCTACATGCTCATATACAAATTTTTTGTTTTGTTCAAACCTTCAGGAGCACTTTGCATAACTTAATGTCATTACTGGGTATGGTAGCTCAACACTATTTAGTGCGACCCTTATTTGGCTTGGCCTATAAGGTGTGCCTTATCTGTGATTGTGATGCATCTCAGTCTCAGATCTCAGATATGCGTCACAATCCTATATCGGTGTGCCTACCTATTCAGTGTCCCTGCTGGTAATACCTCTATAGAAGTTTCCAGATGCGAATATGACAATGGTATTTTTTTCTTCATTTAATGCGTGAGCGTTAAAAGCCCTATTAGAGAAAAACCGGCGTAGTGGTGTCGGTCGCATGACTTTTCTGGTCACTTGACTAGATAGGTCGATACATCTGATACTAACACATTTTCTCCGCATTAATTACATTAATCGCTTGTTTCTTTCCTAGGCCGCTCACTTTTCGAATGCAGCTGCCAGCTGTTTGTGGACCATGAGGTGATGGTGGAAGATGTGGGCTTTCTGCAAGCTGTGGAGCTCCTTTTCGCCCTTTATTATTGTTTAAACATCCAGTATGCCAAAGGTGCGGGAACCACACTTGAGTTCATTCAGAGGTATGGTTTATTTCCTTCATAATTTTGAGCCTCATGAGAGGCAATAAAGAGCAACTCTGCTGAACTTTGGCTGAGAAAACGATTAGTTCTCTTTATAATCATCTAGGAAGGCTACAACTGAAATCTTTCTGTATATAAAATTGGACCCTGAAAGTTTGACATGCGCTAATCTGCTAATTTTAGCGAGCGATGTACAGGCTAGCCAACTTTGGCACTTCCTTCAGATGTGACGTCATGTTGATGTCTGTTGTATACACCGGCTTTTTTCTCTTTCAACGCCATCACATGTCCAGTCAGTTCAGACAACACTACCTAGAGTTGACCCAGTGAGTGGGGTAAATCACGTAATCATGCATCTGCCATGGACATGAGTGTGCATGCAACTGACGTCGCTGCTTGCCCTTTGCCGAAGTTTCGGTTTCAATTTGCGACTTGAGTTATAAATAGCAAAGTTGCACAAACAATATTCTACTTTTCGTGAAACAATGTAGAGTTGTTCATGAGTGCTTTTCAAAGTAAGGTCATCCACTATCTTGAAATTTTCTAAATTGAGTAGAGTTGCCCTTTAATTTGTCACTGGCTACCCACATTTCCAAGCTCAATTTCAGAGTCCATTATTAAACCGCAATAGGGTGTTGTATTCTTGGACCACAGAATGAATAAAACGTGCTCGGGACGAAGGAGACGACAAACATTTCTTTCAACTAAGAACAACAGGAATGAACTTAAGAGCTCTCCGTGCAATTCAGACTGCCAAGAAAATGGAGAGAAAGGGAGGCAGGAAGATAAAAAGGAAAGTGTAAAGTTAGAATTGTAACTCATGCTGTTACTTCACTCTTTTTCTTATTTCCTTCCTTACAATTTTTGACACTTACCTTTCTCTCTTTCTGCCTCTCTTTCTCTCAATTTCCTTGGCGGTCTGAACTGAAGGATGTGTTTTTAAGCTCATTCATGTTGTTAATTAAAAGAAATGTTTGTCGTCCTTCGTCCGGGTATGTTTTGTTCTTTCTGTGGTCTGTGAATTTTACCAACACACTCTTCAGTTACTTTAAAGGTTGTTATATCTTGCATAATAATTCGATTTAAAAATTTCACCTAATGTTACAATGTGACTATGTTTGATCCTATCCCAGAAATCACAAATAAATATGTCAATATATCTACTATTCCTATTGTTTTATCTTTACTGAATGTGTCATTTACTTATAATTCTATTTGGCATTCAGTTAGAAGGCAGAGTCATAAGCAGTATACATCATTAAATTATTTTTGGCTGGAAACAAATTGGAGCCTCAAAATATGTTTAATATACTCAGCTAATTATTTATTTAAGAGTTTCTTTACTGCACCACACTATTCTGTATCACTCTAAAAGTGTCTAGAAGTGATATGTGCAGATGATCTCTAATTCATCTAATTCATAACTAAATTTGACTGATATAAAACCTTTTCACAACTTTTTGAAGCTTTATTTCTGCATGTTTTAGTAGCATGTGGTTCATGTTTGATTTTGTACCTGAATACCTTTTTCTCGTCTTTATACATGTTTATCAATCGTATGTTCTTTCGACAGTGGCTGGCCAAAATGTGGCTTGCTAAAAAAAGAGAATGATTCTCTTACAACATTCCTTTTGCCATGTCTGGTGCTTTTAAGCAATCATTAACAGCTAGTTGAGTATTTTAGGTCATTCAACTGTCTGCAATACTAATTATGCAAATGAGTGCTTGCTTAATTACGAGTAGAAATGCAGAGAAGGAATTGCTTTGTGACTGTGTAGGACAACAGACAAATTTTAATGCTGTATTGTAATAAAAGAAGTAAGCACGAAGCAGGGATGGGCAAAATACATGCAAATATGCATCGAAATACAAATAGAAAATGCTTCGTCAAAAATGTATTTAAATACAAATCTAATTACTTTAGCAAAAAAGTATTTAAGTACGAGATACAAATACAGACAGAAAAGTAGTTGGTCTCTTCCAAATACTTTTCCAAATACGTTGCTTAAAATTTGCGTCAGCGACTTCAGGGCACCTGCAACAGGTTTCTGGGCATCTCATTTTAATTTTGCATCGCACACTCGGGAGTTAGTGCTCGAGGCTCTAGTAACGTAATACAAATATAATCACAAAAAAAATGTAATCAGCTTGGACGTAATAGGTGAAAAAAGTACAGAGCTTCAAGCAGTTTTTTTTTTGTTGATTACATTTTGGTATAGACAATCAAAGGACCGAGACGACCAAGACGCGCAGCACTAGCTACAGATTTTTTTATTGTTGCAACTCCCACCAGTTACAAACATCTGGATGACCCGCGCATTTAGAATGTTCGAGGCAAAAGTATGGATGGAAATCAGGCTGGAAAGCATCACAAGTTGTCACTGTCACTTATTTAGCCAGTCTGCCTGTGAACGTCGATTTCGTCACTATTCTTTCCCTGGACTAGCATCGTAATTACAAAGTCACAAAACGCTTGTGCTTGATTGAGAGACACTGCATTCGGTGCAGAACGTAGTTTTCTTCCTGCTCTGGACAGTGACAATAAATTTGAGGGATGTATTTTCGCCCACAAAATTGTATTTAATTACAATTGTATTTGAAATACACACGTTTTAGTATTTAAATACACACATCAAATACATTACAGAATTTTTAATTAAATACAAATGCAAAATACACAAAGTATTTGAAATACGTAGTTCAAATACTTGTATTTGAAATACTGCCCATCCCTGGCGCGAAGTATGTACTTGTTCTTCTGTTTATGTCGCTGCTATAAAATTTACTTTTGTTTGCTTCCAAAACTTCTCCCAAATGACTCAAATCAATTACATCGCTGTCTGTTCAATATCTTTTTAAATCAACATGTTTTTAGTGTTTTGTAGGTCTAAAAGTTACATATCCCTGTTGGAAAATATCGATGTTGGAAAGATGATGGAAAAGGCTCATACAAGCGTAACCGTAATATGGGACATCCTATACAAGCGAAAAGGCAGCTCCAGTATAGTGGATTACGGCGGAACGATACAGGTAGGCGGAACCATACAAGCGTGTCGTATTATGGGACGTCCTATACCGGCGTAGTGGATTATGGCGGAACCACGTAGGCGGACGGAACCATACATGGATAACGTAATATGGGACATCCTATACCAGCGAAAAGGCGATACCGGCATGTTGGAGCCATATGGCTCCAACATGGTGGTTTCGCCTTTTCACTGTTGTACACGGCAATTTAGTTTTAAGCTTTACATATATGTTTAGAAAGGTCGTGAAAGCTAAATTAATGCGATTTGTGCAGGCGAGTTATATGGCCAGGCGTACGTAGTATAGGGACCTAGTCGTAACGATCAGTCAGATAATTAAATACAATTTGTTAATTAACTTTTTAATTAGTGAAAATGAAACTATGGTTTCTATTGGAAACTTGCTGAGTCACTGAAAACCACAAAATCAACTCTTTTTAGAAGGATATAATGCAGGGGTAGCATTTTACGCGTTCTGTAAAAATGCTTTATTTGGACGAGTTTCTAGGTTTCAGTTTCTTATCAGAGCTCATCTTTGCGCCCACGCTCCTGTTCCCCAGGGGCTTAGACGCGCAACACACGTGCGCCTTGCTTCCCTCCATCCTACGAGGGAGGCGAGGGGGCGGCTTCGCACTGCGGCCACCGGGCAGCAGGACCGTAGGTGCAAAGATGCGCTCTGGTAAGAAACCGAAGTCTGGAAACGCGTCCAAATTGACCATTTTTTTAGAACACCATAAAATGTTGCTCTTGTCTTATATCTTCACAAAGAAAATTGATTTAGTGTGTTTTGATGATGCTTAGAAGTTTCTAATTGGAACCATGGGTCTATTTTCACTGACTAAAAATTTCAGGAACATACTATACTTAGAGAGAGGCTGAAGCGGTTTTGTATTTGAGAAAACACTTTTAAATCTTCTTCATTTGACCTCCAGAATCTCAAATATCAAAATTATTTGCCAATTTAATTAATCGAGGCTGCATAGTCATTTTTAAAGCGCTTTGAAAGCACTTCCCTAGAGAGCGACGTCACAAGAGCAGCTTTCAAAATCTTTGTTCACGCATCTTCAGCGCCTATGAAAGCTATGCACGCACATGCTATTTTTTAAAGGGGCAGAAAAATGTGTCACGACTGGTGCCAATGCGGGAGAATATACCTAGAAAACTTGCGACTGGACGCGCGGCCCTTAAGCGACACACACTTGGTGGCTGAAAGGTCTTCTTACGATGTCACTATTGGTAGGATGTTTTTTTTGTGTTTTCTCACGTTTAGTTATATCTTTGTGGAAAACGAACGGGATATTCAGATTCGCGGGATAAAACCACGCGAGAATGAACCTCCATCTAGTTTTCTGAAAAAAGTCTGGCACATCTCTGTAATAAGCCGACTGATCATTACAAATTAGCCTTTTATACCATGCCGCCCTGGCCATATAACTCACATGTACAGACTGCGTAAATGTAGCTTTTACAGCTTTTTTTTTAAAAATCTGTAAAATATACAAAAAACTCTGTAGATTGTCCCCCAATACAATATGATTGTATGCTTCCTTTCTCGCTTGCATTGTTCAAGAAAGACTTGTGGATATCCAGCGTTTCATTGGAATGCCGGATGTCAATGAGTCTCTACATCAGTGAGTGGTTTCAAACAATTATGATGTTTGCACACCTGTAAGCTCTTATCTGAGGCTCACCAGGAGCACTAAGAGCAGAGGCAAAATGTCGTGACCTGGTAAATTTGGTTGCAGGTATTTATTTTTAGAAGAACTGCATGCAGCAAAGCTTAACTTTGCTCAAAACAAGATAATTAAAAATTCAATACTGAACAATGGTGTCCCTTGAGCTGTCAGACCAAACTCCCACTCTTGTCACTCAGGAGTTCCTAACTTGTGCGTAGAGGATCAGCACAACCCAGATTTGTGCTGCAAGCGCACCTGCAATATAAAAGTTGAAAAAACATGAGATGAAATATGAGAC